CTTACTACCTCTTCCATTCCCCTAACGGATTTAAGGTTAGGAGCCCCAAATGGCTGCCTGTCACCCTGGTAAGGTATTCTAAAACCAAACATAAACCCTTCTAACAAATACTTACCCACCTGTTGATTGGGATAATCCCTCAACAGGCGGGACAACATATGAATCTTAATGGGACTAGGACCCTTTGTCCCCAGCCCCTTGTTGGCCTCCGCCACCGAAATTACGCTTCCCACCCCTGCTGCCCAATTTAGATCTTGGCCTGAGGCAACTAGAGAATGGATGGGGGCCTGCGCACAGCGGGCACTCGTGCCAAAAGGAACACACCTTCCTACCGCACGTGCCCTGTGAAGTAAACTCCCAACAAAGTGGGTGCCTGCCCGCTGGGGTGCCTGCCCGCTGGGAGCTCGGCCCGAACTTGGACCCTGTAGCCTATGCACCACATGACCACTGCCTGAACGGTCCCCAGATGCAGGCCTTGCTGCCGCCATAGCTTCGAGCCACAGGTGGGGATGAATCTGGTCCCACCTCCAGGTTGGATTCATGGCGGCCTGCATTCTGAAGCCCTCATCATACTCCAGCCATGCCATTCCCATAGAGCGAGTATATGCCTTATAAATAATGTCCATATACTTCAGCATGGGGGAGGCCCTCCAAGGCTGCTGGTGTACGATGACCGCTGTATAAGTAAGGAACCCCGGATACCAGTTGGCCCACATCCTGTCGACCCTCCGCTTCTTCAAGCGCTCTTTTTCACGCTCATCTAAATCCTCCTTATCTTTTTTGTCAAGTAAAAACGTCGACAAAATCCCCTTTCAGGATCTTGTCACACATGGCTGTAGACAGGTGGTCACCTAATGGAAGCTCCAGCTTGCCACTAGGTAAGGATTTAGCCGGCATGTGCTCGTACTGCTGCCCAGCACAGCATGTGCAGCCATGTTGCGGACCCCACCACCCCTGTGATGTATGGGACCTGTATCCTCCTGCGTGACCTCTGCAGCTAGATGGCTGAGAAGATGAAGGCCCAGTGCCCCCCTGGTCCCCTGACCCCCAGGGCCACTTCTTGGCTTCAGCACCATCCTTACGTTCCTTGGAAGGGGGGCCCTTATATATCTCCAGCTGCCTTCCACCCTCATCAGCCTCATCCACTTGCTGACCGCTGCTTTGCTGATTGCCTGATGTCCCTTGGCCGTCCTCCATCATGGCCAAATGCGCCAGAATCTTTGCCTGGAAAGCGGAAGGAGCCTTAGGTTTTGTTCTCTTAGAGCCCTCAGTTGCAGCTGTTGGTGGGACTTGCTTCCCCCTTTGCTTCTCCAAGGCATCCAGGCATGCCAGGATAGCAGCATTAATGGGAATCAGACGATTCAGGCCTAACTGGCTCAAGGTTAGGCCTCTTAGGAGCTGGTTGCTTGCCCTTGGCCCGCCCCTTACCCTTTCCGGATGCCATGCTGTCTATGAATTGCAAAGTCCCCTATGCCTATGCTAAGTATCTAAAAACCTTATGCCTCAGAAAGATGGCTAAACTTTGAGTCACCACTAGAGTGCGCCCGAGTAATTACTGGCAGGTTGAAATTTCACAGCCTTTATACAACTCTAGTTGCCCAGTAACAGCCACTAGGGGGCAACCCCGAAGACCCCAACCTGGATCCTCCAGTGGACCAGCAAACGCCACTAGGGGGCCACACTATGAATCAAAGTAATGCTTCTCACTTCTCCTGCCTGTAGCCACCTATTCCTTCCAAGATGTCCATGTACACCAGGGCGAGACGAACCCCCCACAATGGCAGCCGCTGAAATACCAAGGACCCACTAATCCCCACACCCCTCTATATAAAGAAGGTGTGGGTGGGGGAATGGGCAACCGTGTAAGGAACTGGGCCCCAGCAGCCTTACCAACCACCCTAAATGAACTGTAAATGAACAGTGGGGACAGGGAAAGACTGTGTGTGCGTCTTACTTCAACAATATGGAGCAGACCCCAAGATGGAGCAGGCTGCAAAGAACACCCCGAGGCCGTGCTCCAAGTGTGGCCCCTTCAGGCAGGCACTGGGAGGCCCAACGCACAACACGATGCTGTCGTCCAACTGGCTGACTCCGCCCGCTCCACAGACCAAATCCGGCCAACTAGGCCAAGCAGAAAGCTCCGCACCATGCTCGACGCCTCTCCGGCCCCACGTTGCTGCTAAAGCAGCCTGCCGACTGCCGGAGCTGCCCTGCAAAGCGCCGCCGCCGCAGCCCTTTTTTGATGTCCTCAGGCCCCAACGGTAAGCCTGAAGCAGCACAAACGGCTATTCGCGCCGTGCTCCGATCTCCTCCAAGCACGAGGCGCAACTGGCAAGGAGGGGAGTGGGGCCGAGCCTATAAAGGCTGGCCCCATCCCCTCGACGCCGAGACACGCTGCGTCTCGGCACAGCAGGCTGTCTATTCCCTCCCGGCGGCAAAACCGCCCGTGCCCTTAATCGGCATTGCCGATAGCGCACAAGCCTCATTATTTTGTCAAAATGCCCCAAATTTACTTCAGCCTCTGATTTATTTATATGTAAGAGCTGCATCAGAGATTAAAGTGACCTGAAAATGGGGAAAATAATTCCTGGCAGTTCCAGGGCCTCTTGACTAGAAGCAGAAATACACAAGGAGGCTGCCTCTACCAACCCAGGGTTGTTATTAGTAAATGCAGCATCCAACTGTGAAGCTCTTCCCTCTTACTCTTGGCAAGGAATAGTCGTGCCACACTTATTCCATGTTCTGACAGTGAACACTTTGCACCTTCCCTCACCCCTGTTCCAAAGCATTGGCTGCTACTGTTGGGAGCAAGGGGATTTTATGGGGGTTTGATTGTTCTTCTTGTTGTTTTAAATGCATTGCACTTCCTGAGCTCAAGGCACTTTACATAAAAATCAATAAAACTGTGCCATGAGTAACAAAATCCAGCAGCCAGAATATAACAACCCAGAACACCCTTCCATTAACTCAACCTTCCAAAGCTATCATGGAAAAGGAGGGTCTTGAAGCTCTTTCAAAAGGATCTAAAGGGGAGGCGACTCCTGACATCCATATGGCAGTCATCCCAGAGCCTTGGGAGATTGTTGCACAGATCGCAACAACCCACTGAGATAGGCTAGGCTAATGGGGTGCCTGGCGCAGGGTCATAAGGCTGCAAACCTCCAGGTGGGGCCTGTAGGTCCCGGGCTACAAAGTTCCCCAGGAGCAACTGACTGCTTCCAAGGGTAGACTCTATGGCATTACATCCTGCTGGGGTCTCTCCCCTCTCCAGGCCCCATCTCTACATTTCCAGGAATTTCCCAACCCAGAGTTGGCAACCCTGCTTCTCCCTTCCCTTCATCTTAGTAAATAGGGCAGTGAATTTAGATATCACATACTTGCCACCAATGTTCTGCCTAAGTTCCACAGTGTTGTGAGCAAAAATTCTACCTTGTGAGTGGAAAAAGCTAGTAGCATTAAAGTTGTGAGCGTGTCTACATTTGACTATCACATAAATTAGTTTCTTAGCAGATTATTTCCATAACCTTGTGAAAATCTCAGATGGAATTCTTTTCAACTATATTTTAACAATAATTTCAACATTATAAGAGAAAACAGAATCAAGTCAGATTTCATTACAGAAAGTATTGTCCTCTATGGGGGTAGACCAGGCCTCCAGAGAACAGTTGGCCCATCCCAGTCCACTATATTGGTAGATCTGGCCTCAGATTGTTGCCCAGCACTTATGGCGGGGGGGGGGAAGTCTTGCATTTTACTTTGTGTGTGTTTTTAAGTGAAATATGACAACCAGTATTACAGGTCAAGTATAACAGAGGTGGAACAATTACTGTCAGAATCCTGCCTAACCTAACAAACAGGAAGTTGCTTAAATGTTATCAACCTGCCCAAACTACTTATTTATTCAAATATTTATATCCCACTTTTACTGTGACTCAAAGCATCTTACAAATCATACTGGAAAGCATAATAGGAGTGTGCCAAACAAAAAATTTTCCTGCTCCATTATACCATTATAGTCAATGGGCCCCATAGGCTATAATGGAGAATCGATTCAGGGGTATCTGGGGCTCTGGGGGGGCTGTTTTTTGGGGTAGCAGCACCAAATTTGCAGCATAGCTGCTGGTGCCTCTCCTAAAAACCCCTCGTTTAAAAAAAAGTGGACAAGGGGGTCCAATTCTATGGGCCCCAGGATGAGGTTCCCCCGTCCAATGAAGGGGAAAATGCTCCTGAGCTGGAAGCTAAATTGTCTGAGCAGCTAGCTAAAATGTTGTGCGCCAGCACCCCCTAGCACATCTTAGAGGGAACACTGCCAGCCACTACTTGGTTACTAAGACTGCATGCCTTTTGCCCTTTCAGTTCCCCTTCTCAACTGTCCTGTTTGATGTAATAATTGTGTGTATTGTGCTTCCAGGAACCAGATGGAGAGCTTCTGCCCTCTGACATCAATTTGATAAATGTGGGTCCCTCATTCGTTCAACAGCACCATTTGAGAAGTTTCAAAGGTCTGGCATTCCAGTTACATTGGAATGTCAGGCCTTCCCATTACATTCCAACTCATGCCATATCCACGCCTAGAGCGGGCTGGCCCTTAGGGGCACCAAACTGCACCCGGCCCCATACTCTGGGAGTTTCTTGATTATTTGTGTTTTTCATTCTTCCTAAAATGCATTTATTTTTGAAAAATGGTGGGCGCACGGGGGGGCAGAAGGGATCCTCGCCTAGGGTGCAAAATAAGCTGGGGCCGGCCCTGCTTCCAATTACATTCCAACTCATGCCATCCAGTGCTGCAGCATTTAGCTTCTCCAATATGTAAAAACAGTAACTGTTCTCCACCAATAACAAGGCCTGTGCCTAGCCATTTCCATGTTGTGAGGATGTTGGCCTGGGACTAGGGCTAGAATAGCAAGTTTTGGGAGCTGTGTAAAAAGGCTTTAAGACTCAGAGTTGTATTAACAATTTCCTTTAGGTTTTTTTTTTAAATTACTGTTGTTGATTGACAGAACTTCCAGTGCAGCGAAGCCATGTTTGAGGCTGTGGAACAGCAGGATGTGGATGCTGTCCAGATTCTCCTCTATCAATTCACACCTGAGGAGCTGGATCTCAACACCCCTAATAGTGAGGGACTGACTGCACTTGATGTCGCCATCCTTACAAATAATGTGCCTATTGCCAAGATCCTTTTAAAAGCTGGGGCAAAAGAGAGTCCGCACTGTAAGTATGCAAACTGCAGACACTGAATTTGACAGAACAAGTCAGAAATACAGTAGCATCATACAGGAGACATATACAGGAGCAGGGGTCATTTTGTAGAAAAAGAGGTGCAGGAGCTCATTAGCATAACTTATTACCATAACTTATTTGCATATGCCACACCCCCTGACATCACCGGAAGTGTGTCAGAAGGCAACACCCACCACTCAGGCGCCACTGGACTGTTTTGGATTGCTAGCTATTTTTGGGGGGGAACATGCAGGTCTGTCCTCACAGAGGAAGGAGAGCTTGTACCTGAATAAATCTTGGTCTTAAAGGTGCCACTGGACTGTTCTGGATTGCTAGCTATGGGGGGGGGGGACGCGCTTATAGCTGAAGGTGGGCCGGGGGGCTCTGCAACTTACCTGGCTGCTTCTTGCTCCTCATGGCCCAACTGAGGGCTGCTGGGAGCAGGGGGAGGGGCTTGTTGCATGTGCCCGCCCCCTGGGCTCCTTACTGCCGGAGCTCCGCTCCTGTGCGCTCCCGCAGGAAATGACCCCTGGCTGAGGCAGGCCTACTGAGCCGCCAGTCAGGACAAGGAATCCCCTGCCCTAAGCTCCCATTCCTTGTCCCCACTCCAAGTTGTGATGGGAACTCACCAGTATCACAAGCATGACGATATAACTTCTGGGGAAACCTTGTAAGCAACAATGGTAGCTCTAGGAATCTCCAGGAACTCTATGGTCATCATGTTCCTTCTGCTGCCACTCCATGTGTCCGCCCCCAATCCTGGGGACGCTAGCTGCAGATTTCAAGTCTGAGGGCTCAGTCTGGATTAAAAAGAGATGGCATGTGGTCCTGCAGTGTTTTTCTTAAAAATATTTTATAAATATTTCCATGATGTTGATGTGAGCTAGGATTTATGGGAATGCGTGAATTTTGTGGTAATACAAGGTATTTGAAGCTTTTGCCATACAACCATTATTTCTTTTTTTGAGAGTGGCTTAGAGAGAAACACAAAAATGTAATTTAGAAAATCACCAGATGGGTCCTGCAGATGACCTGGAATTGTAACTGATCTCCAGACTACAGAGATCAATTCCGCTGGAGAAAACGCCTTCTTTGGAGGATAGACTCTAGGGCATTATAACACATTGAGGTCCCCCTTCCTCAAACTCTGCCCTCCCCAGGCTCCACCCCCAAAACCTCCTAGAATTTACAAGCCCAGAGTTGGCAACTCTAATACAACTCCTAATCTTGAGCTGGTCCTCAATCCACTGGAACGGCTCTTTCAGGGAAACAGGTTGCTGTCCATAGGCTACGAGCCAAGGACAGGCTAAGTAGCCTGTAACAGAGAAAGAAGACACTCAACCTGGTCTCATTCAGCCTGACACAGATACATTTCCAACCTCCCTCCCCCTATTTAGAACACCCTTTCAAGTACGTCCTGATCAAATCAGAATGTAATGAATTGTTGCTGTTAGGTGGTGTTACATCCTTTTATGAGGAGAAGCATAAGAACTTAAGAAGAGCTTTGCTGGATCAGACAGTGGTCCATCTAGTCCAGCATTCTTCTCCTGATGTTGCTCCCTCATGCTGGTATTCAGAGGTTTGATGCCTCTGAATATGAAGGTTCCTTTTAGTCACCATGGCTAGTAGCCATTGATGGACCTTTCTTCCATGAGTCTGTCTAATCCTCGTTTAAATCCAGCTGTGCTTGTGGCCATCACTACATCCTCTGGCAATGAGTTTCGCAATTTAATTTCTTATTACATAAAGAAGTATTTACTTTTGATGTCCGCAACCTATTGCTCATTAACTTTATTGGGTGCCCTTGAATTCTAATATCATGCAAGAAGGGGAAGTTCACTTTCTCTAACCCATGCATAACAGTGTTGTTGTTGTTGTTTTTTTGGGGGGGTGTTAAATAAGTGCTGGTATTAATCTATAAAATTGCACCAATTTCCACTAATTCCCTCCTCCGGACTTGGGAGAGCCCCCCAAAAGGGGGCTTTAGTCCGTGTACCACCACAAAAAAAGCCCTGATGCTCTATCATGTATCCCCTCCTAAATCTTCTTTTTTCTAAGCTTAATATTTTTAACCAGCCATCATAGGAAAGCTGCGCTAACCCCTTAATTGTCTTGGTTGCCCTCTTCTGCATTTTTTTCCAGAGAGCAGTGTTGCAAATAAAATAAAATGGGATGTTAGATCACACCCACTTAGCAGATTCCCTTACTGGCATCTGTGTGCCATAAAAAATTAAACATGCAAACAAGATTAGGAATAAAAATACACTGAAAATTAGCGCAACCAGACACTGTGCAAAATTTGAGAACTAAAAATCCACTGTTTGAATTCTGAACTCATGTGACATTGTGGAATGCTGTAAAAACAATTAAACATTATATTACATCGATAATTTTAAGGCAATGACATTAAGTATTAATGTAGCAATAATGTTACTCCTTCCTCCTAAAACTCCTAAATCTAGTAGTATCCATTCTTGAGAATTTGTCCCAGCTCTTTCTCCCATTGCAGTCCTCATGTTGCAAGAGACTGACCAACAGGTTCTCAAGAGACAAATTATTGCATATATACCTTGCCTTTCTTCCATGATGGAACTCAAGGTAGTATACATGGGGTTCCCAGAGATTTTCTTCCCAGAAACTGACTAGACCCAGACATCATTTGGCTTAATGGTAGAATATCTGTTTTGCATGCAGAAGGTCTCAGGTCTCATGTTCAGCCCATGGTATTTCTGGTTAAAAGAATCAGGTAGCAGGTGATATGACCTCTACCTTAAACCCAGAGAGCTGCTGTCAGTCAGTGTAGACAGAACTGACCTTGATAGAGCTGACTCAGAAGAAGGCAGCTTTATGTGTAGCACATCATGTACATTCCAACCATACTTGATACCTTTCAGCTGTGTTGCTGACAGGGTATCAGAGTAAACTGAGTGAATCAGACATCCTGGTATCATTCACTCATCCCTGGAGGGTGGATGTATCCTTAAGAATCCAGTTTTTACTTTCATAAGGACACTTTAGGCTCAGTTTGTTCATTTGTCAGCTGATATAGATTTAAAGCAATCTGTTCAAAATCCAAAATTTAGAGTTGAGCATGAAAAGAATCCTATATATAGAATTGCCCTCCGTATTGGCCATTTGCAGCTCTCCCATTGGCTGTGCTGAGTGCTCCATCAGCCATTGGCCTATTAACTGCCACTTAAGAGTGCCATTGGCTTGGGGCTGGGTCCGCTCCTCTCCCCCACCCACTGCCAGCCTGGCCACTTCCATGACAGAATAAACGGCCAAAATGGCTGTCTCCTGACGAAGACACTTCTCCTGCTTGGCTCCTGTAAGGCTAACTTTTCCCTCAGTGGCTGTTGCTAGGCAATCAAGCTTGGTTCTGTCAGTAAAAAGGCAAAGGCAGGAGGCCCATTCCAGGCTTACTTTGGCCTTGGAATAAAAAGCCAAAACGGCTGTCTCTCCTGACAGACACTTCTCCTGCTTGGCTCCTGTGGGACTAACTTTTCCCTCAGTGGCTGTTGCTAGGCAATCAAGCTTGGTTCTGTCAGTAAAAAGGCCCTTTCCAGGCCTTTGTGGGGAACTCACTGGAGCCAGTCCTGACTAGGGTTGCCAGCTCTAGGTTGGGAAATTCCTGGATATTTTGTGGTGGAGTCTACGGAAGCCAGAGTTTGGGGAGGGGAGACACCTCAGCTGAATAGAATGCCATAGAGTCCACCCCCCAAAGCAGTTATTTTCTCCAGGGGGGAAGATATCTGTTTTCTGGAATTCAGTTGTGATACCTGATGATCATCAGGCTCCACCTGGAGGTTGCTTACCCTAGGTGTAACAGTTAGTACTTCAGAGCAGGGTCTGCCAGACCAAGTTTCTTGCTGTGGAAGTTGAGTGGGTGATTTCAGACCAGTCACAGACTTTCAGCTTAACCTACCTCACAGGGTTGTTGTGCAGTTCAAAAGGGGGAGAGGAGAATGATGTAAGTTGCTTTGGTCTCCACTGCGGAGAAAGACTCTTGGGGAACCATTGCTGCCAATCTTCAGATGAGGGCTAGAGATTACTCAGAATTACAACTGCTCTCCAGGTGGCAGACATCAGCTCCCCTGGAAAAAATGGCTGCTCTGTAGGGTGGACTCTGTGTCATTATACCCTGATGAGGTTGTTTCCCTCCTGCTTGGATCCTCACTGTGGAAGAAGACTGTACTTTTCCTAAGTATAGAGGCTGCAGGTGTGAGTGCGGAGATGAAAAGCTGAAGTCAGAGGGGCAGATAAAGGTAGGTTGATGGTTGGCTGGGAAGGAGATAGGATAGCCACCTCCATGTTGGGAAATTCCTGGAGATTTGAGGGATGGAACCTGGAGAGGGTGGGGTTTGTGGAGGGATGGGACCTCAGAGATGGGACCTGGCGGTAGAGGGATGGGACTTGGTGGACCATTGCTGCCAATCTCCAGGTGAGAGCTGGAGATCACTCAGAATTACAACTGCTCACCAGATGGTAGAGATCAGTTCCCCTGGAGAAAATGGCAGCTATATAGGGTGGATTCTGTGTCATTGTACCCTGCTGAGGTCACTGCTCTCCTGCTTGGGTCCCCACTGTGGAGAAAGACTGTAGTTTTCCTAGGTAAAGGCTGAAGGTGTGTGGGGGGATAGAAAACTGAGGTCAGAGGGGCAGATAAGGGTAGGGTGATGGTTGGCTGGGAAGGCGATAGGTTGCCAATTCTAGGTTGGGAAATTCCTGGCGATTTGAGGGGTGGAGCATGGAGAGGGTGGGGTTTGTTTATTTATTTATTTATTTATTTGATTTATACCCCGCCCTCCCCGCAAGCGGGCTCAGGGTGGCTTACAGTGTTGGTACCCTGTACCATAAAAACCATGTACAAAATGTAAACAGCATTAAGCATTAAAAACAATCCAACAATTAACGAGGTGCTAGTGATGGTACACTTTTGATGGTAATCTCTAAATGATTCAGATGGTGTACTAACAATTATCATCGGCATC